ACAGAACAAATAGTTTCTCATTAAACAGTCAGTACACATATTGTTTTATGACATTGGTTAACAACCCCACGACATGTCAACACTCTCCCTTCTCGAACTTGGAGGACCCTTGACATAAATTTTATTTGTTGGTGTATTTGGCCAACTAAATACTTCAAATATAAAGTAATGCAGCAGTGAAAATATTAAATATCTTTTCAGGTGATGAAGAAAGTTAACTATTTCTTCACTCGACTTAAAGAACATTCATTCTTTATTTCCTATTATTTATGTTTTTCCTGTGCCTAACCAGTTACTTGTTTTGGGCTATCATATTTCAGCTTAAGAGAGATCTATCAATTTCTAACTGTTAGCTAGACTTTTGTATTTTCTTTTATGATATGTGAGAAAATTCCAGGATCCAAATAATCAGCTAAAATTAATTTCCATCTTTCAGAAAATATCATTTGTTTAATTTTGGAGTTTTCATGACTAATTTCCAAATAAATCTAAAGAATGTGTCATGTTTTATCTCTGCCATCTCTATGATCAACAATAATGAAATAAAAACAACAAACATTATGGAGCCCATAGTCTGTCTCAGGCAATATGCTCAGTGCTGTAATGTGGATTATCTCTTTTAATCTTCACAGTAAGTCTAGGAAGTAAAAGTAGTATTGTTATTCCTGTTTTACTGATGAAAAAATGGATTTGTAGAGTGGCCCTTTGTGATGAGCTAAAGTTCCAACTGAAGTTATCTGACTCCAAATCACTGTGTTATGTCTTGCATCCTTAAACCTTTTTATCTCTTCTACAGAGATAAAGATACACAAAAGAAAGTACAAGGAAACTTCTTATCTTTGCAGATATAATTGGTCACTAAATTACATGGTCAAAAGCTGTTTGGTATGAAAGACAACTCAGTAACATAAAAATTACTCTGGTACTCTGTGCTGAAATATTTCAAAGTATCCCTTTATTCAGTATTAGAGAGATTTAATCCATTGTGTAAACCATAATTAAACTATTTAAAAGATTTCTGAGTCAGCTTCTTATCTTTCTTCTTGCCCTGGCTACTCCTATGAACTAATAATATGCGGAAAGAGTATTCTGCAAATCAGAGCCAAGTATTTATGAACTCCTATAAAAATGATCCTAGAAATTTTCTTGACAGAAATTCCAAAGAAGTGCACTTTCAATTCCACAACCCTGACAAAGATGTAACCTCTATCTCAGATTTGTCACAGCAATATTAAAATATAAATTATAGATTGGCTATAGTTGATAAAGCTAGTTTGCTGGCTTTTGACAGGAAAAGTTTTAATTATTCAACTTACAAAAGGATTATCATCATATTTCTTTTAAAAGTAAATTTCTTCAATACCTTTAAAATGTAATTTTAATCTGTTAAGTCTGTGTATCATAGTTTTACCTCTTCGGAGAGGTAATGGGGTGTGGTGAGCTTTTACTTTCTATTTCATACATTTCTATAGACATTTTATTATTTTGTCATAAACATCATATTTGTAAAATAAAAGGCCAAATTAGAAGAAATGGTAGTACAAAATATGATTTTGTTTGAAATTGAGACTTTTTTGCAAAGTGTAACAGTATGCAACTTGTAGAGCAAATAACATAGAAACTATGAATAGCTTTAAAAGATTAATTTATGGTGCTGGTGGTGATAAAGACTTCAGTGGATTGGAAAGCTCTTATGTAAAATGTGCTTTGTTTTCAAATTAAGTACATCTATAGTAATAGCAGAAGTCTTGTTGGCACAGTGGTTAAAGAGTTCAGTTGCTAACTGAAAGGTCGGTGGTTCATACCCACCAGCTACTCCACAGAAGAAAGATGTGACATTCTGCTTCAGTAAAGATTTACAGCGTTGGAAACCCTGTGGGACAGTTCTACTCTGTCCTATAGGGTTGCTATGAGTTGGAATCAACTCGATGGTAGCGGGTTTGATAGTAATAGCCACACAATAAACTCATGTGTTTTTCTAAAGCATTAATTTTCCTCAATGCTAGGGAATATAAAGCATCAATACAAGCAAGTATATGTTATAAAGTAAAATGAAAAATTCCCATGAATTTTTAAGATAAACATCACAGAAATTCCATTTTACTATGAGCTGCTTCAGGTACCATCCCCATCTCTTTTGGTGGTATGAATATATTTTCCTCTTAGGTATACTTTCTAGTAAATCAAACAAAACTCAGAATTTTAAGCCCTTTGATGTGGTATTTTAGGTGACAGCATAATACTGAACTTTCTGTATTGTTTTTGAATCTGGTAGAAACTTGTCATCTTTAAGAACGCATTTACTAAGAAAAGAGTGAAGCCGTACTGTTGTATTCATAAAAGCTTTTCTCACTACTATTTATAGTCTTCCATTATCACATGAAATATAAAACCTTTTGTTTCTGAAGTGAAGTCAGTAGGAAATACTATTTTTTCCCCAAATAATGGGCATTTAAAAATTAAAAGGAAGTCCTGAGAAAGATTTTCAGACTTCTTTAGTTAAAAACAAACAAAAACAAAACCCCACACACTAAGCATGGAGTAGGAAAATAGATTTATATTTGCTTTGGATTTCTTCTTATTAGTTGTATTACCTTTAAATTAATACAAATTTCTTAATGTCTAGGATCAATGGTGCAATGCTGTGGGGTAGTTTTGACTGTACAAACCGGTTCAACACTGCCTTTACGAGATCTGAGCATCCCACTTGATGTATCATCTTCATCAATCTACAGAATTATCAGTTATTTTACTAGGAGCATAAACAATTATTAGTTTCTATAGTCTATGGGAAACTTGTAATTACTGTTTCTGTTCATGTGGCCATTAATTCTGCTGTCCAAGAAATAAATTGTGTCCTGACATTTTATACTGTTGGCCTGTCCACCACCTGTTCAAACTGGATACCTTAGGATCTTTCAAGTCATGAAGGAATTTTATTGGCCAGTTGGTGGACATTTTCTTGAACTCAATTTCTCTGTGATCTACCCAATAATTGTTGGAAACTTAGGATAAAGTCTTCTTGTCTACTATCCTATTTTCGAATCGCACCATAATGCTTACTCATTACTCAGTGTGAACTGCATACCAGTAATGTACTAGGAATCATAGAAGTTATGAATATACTCTAGATGCACAGAACGTAGAATACTATGGGAAAATGAGAAATGTAATAAAATAGAACATATTCATAGAATTTCTCCCTAAATTACTGAGAGTCATTTGGTGAGAAATCTGCTAAACTCTTGAGTACCAGAACATATTCTAGCTAGAACAAAAATTATATCCCTAGTTTTTGTTCTTGTTTGGTATAATCCTCCTTCCTGTCTTCCACTGACTTAATGTGTATTATGAACTTGAACTATGGATGTGCTGAAAAGCATTTTTGATTATTGCTACCACTTGTTAAAAAATAAATAAATAAACCCGTTGCTGTCAAGTTGATTCCGATTCATAGTGACCCTATAGGACAGAGTAGAACTGTTCCATAGGGTTTCCAGGGAGCGACTGGTGAATTCGAACTGCCAACCTTTTGGTTAGCAGCCAAGCTCTTAACCACTGCATCACCAGGGCTCTGCTACCACTTATGTGCATTGAATACTATACATGCAATTTCTTTATTAATTCATTCAACAATAAAAAAAGTGTAAGTATTACTATCTCCATTTTAAAGCTAATAGAATTCTGAGAGCTTAAGTAATTTGCTGACGATCACACATATACTATGTGACTTAGCCAGGTTAAGTCTGTGCCAAAACCCATGTCCATTCCTCTGTGCTAAACAGACTCTCATCCAGCTCACCTTTTATTAGTGAATGAACATCAAAGACAAGCAGGTATTTCTGTGTGTCAGCATGTGCTGAAGTTGCAGTTATTCTAGTGTCAGGCAGTGTGCTGTGTCAGAAGAATTTATGTTTAAGAGTTTGCATTATATAGGCTTCCAGCAGATGATTAAACATTTTCTAGAGATTAAAAGTTTTGCTGACTCTTTCAAATATTATTTAGCAACCATCATGTAGAGAGGAATGATTTTCTGTGAAATTCCTTACTTTTCATTGCCTTTCAGATATGCTTCTTCTATAAAGGATGGCTCCCAGTATTTTGTGCTCCTGATCGTGACAGATGGTGTTATTTCGGACATGGCTCAAACTAAGGAGTCCATAGTTAACGTGAGTAGGGGTCACTGAGTCTTGGGCTGGCTAAGTGACTGCATGGCACTACTTAGGTTGAGACTAGAGTCTGCTTTAGTTAACAGTGAAACAAAATGCCCACGTTTTTGCAACAGATAACATGCTTAACCATATCCAGACAACTTATGCACATCTGTACTATGGATTCTTAAGGACAAGGCTAGAGGATGTGGATACAAAAAAAAACAAAAAACAAATCCACTGCCATCCAGCTGATTCCGACTCATAGTGACCCCATGGGTTTTCCAAGGCTGTAAATCTTTATGGAGGCAGATTGCCACATCTTTCTGCCATAGAGCAGCTGGTGGGTTCTAACCAGCTACCTTTGGTTAGCAGGTGAGTGCTCTAACCATTGAGCAACCAAGGATAGTTATGCCAAAATTCTTTCCTTAAAAAAATAAAAAATATTAACATCACCTTCATGTACATATAGGTCCCAGTGTGGCACAAGTATTTTTCACTTGACTACTAACCTAAAGTTGGGCAATTTGAACCCACTGAACAGCATCATGGAAGACAGGCCTGACAATCTGCTTCTGTAAAGACTGAAGCCAAGAAAACCCTATGCAACAGTTCTAGTCTGTACCACATGGGGTTGCCACGAGTTGGAATTGACTCAAAGGCAACTAGTTTTTTTTTTTCATGTATATATGTGAGTGTGGTTAACTTCTACTAGCTTGATTTACTTACAAACAATCTTATTATTTGTACAGAATATTTTTTAACATTTATATGTGGCTAAGTACTATTTCTATTGCACTTTATCAGGACTAGATTTGATTCAAAAGTCATCCTGCTCTTATAATTTCTAATTGTGCGTTTGTTTTTCCTGATTATTCAGTTGATTGTCTTCTTTATTAGACATTAGTCCTCTAGAGTGCAACTATTATATCTGTTTTTGCTCACCTTACTAGATTCAGGTTTAGCAGTGTTTGGCACAAAGCAGACATTTAATAAATGCAGATTGCATGAACGAATTCTTTACTAAGCCTCATAATTATTAATAGCATAGAGAGGACAGAATGACCTGTTTGGTGTGAGAAAAGAATAACTACATTTGGGGAAAAATTCATATGCACTATAGACATATTCTGGAAACCCTGGTGGCGTAGTGGTTAAGAGCTACGGCTGCTAACCAAAAGGTCGGCAGTACGAATCCACCAGGTGCTCCTTGGAAACTCTATGGGGCAGTTCTGCTTTGATCTATAGGGTCACTATGAGTCGGAATCGACTTGATGGCAACAGGTTTGGTTTTTTGGTTTGGGTATAGACGTATTCTTAGAAAAAACAAATATAAGAAGGAGAGAGGGAAAGGCTTACAAGTTCGTTTATTTGTTTTTTAAATAGATACAGTTGGGTTGAATTTGTCTCGATTTTCTTTATGGTCTGATCATTGGTATTAGTATGCGCTTTAAAATGTGGACTTAATGATTTAGGCTTAAAATAACAGGACATGATGCACTGAGGAAAAATTATTTGTAATTCATTGACCTTTGTAGATGACTATGTGGTTGCTGCAGTGTTCTATTACTGCATCTCAGATTCTTAACATTAAATTATTTAATGTAATGATATAATTTAAGTGATATGGTGGAAATATGTTACTGAGTTAAATATTTAGTCTCCCTCACAATCTCATGGATATTTAATGCATAAATTAATAATACTAAGAATAACCTTCTACAATGATCATTTATGGTTGCTCATTTACTATGAAAATTGCTTTCCCTAACATTGAGTATAAATGAGGTAGAGTAAAATACCACTCACAAATCTGGAACTTTTTGTGCCCTTTAGCAACTGAAAGGTTGTTTGTGAGGAGAAAGAATGTGCAAAAGAAACCGAAGATACCCAAAGTCAGCTTAGGAAGATTTTGGCTGAGAGTAGCAAATAAAAGCCGATGCTCTTTACTTTTTTATTTTATCTTATTCAGGGGTGGTCATTCTTGAAGAATATATATACCCTGGATTAGCATATAGAGAGAGTTTGGAAAGAATAAGAGTGGAATCAAGTATATTATCCTGCAGTTAACAATTTTAAATAGGTTAGAAACTATTTGAATAAACTTCTGTGAAAATTTTCAAGTAAAATCGGCCATATTATTTTCTGTCTGTTTGGCTCATTACTTCCATAACTTCTATAATTTTATACCTTTCATTGTCAAAAATGCTGTGACCTAATCGTGCTTTCTCTTTGAAGGCCTCAAAACTTCCAATGTCAATAATTATAGTAGGCGTTGGACCAGCAGAATTTGATGGTGAGTAGTAAAATTTCAATAGTATTCCTTGGGAGTTTATTTAATCTGATGTATCATGTTCACGGAGTCCTCCCTGATGGTGCAGTGGTTAAGAGCTATGCTGCTAACCAAAATATCATCAGTTCAAATCCACCAGCTGCTCCTTGGAAACCCCATGGGCCAGTTCTACTCTGTCCTATAGGGTTGGTATGAGTTGGAATCGACTCAACAGTGGTAGGTTTGGTTTTTGGATCATGCTGTTAGGTTTCTATCATTCTTTTCTGCATATTAAGGATGTGAGTGTGCATGTGGGTCTGTTTATAAAGTCCATATACATATAGACATGATTATAGCTATCTCACGATGATGTCTTTCAAAGACAGCAAATTAAAAGATTTTGTTTTCTGAGTAGGGCATGCTGTTTCCAGTTTAAAGATTAATTCAACATGTAGCTTTCCATTTCATCAGTGATGGTTTGTATCTCAAAATAATATTTCTTAAGACTGACAGAGTGATAAATTGAGTTTTTGTTCCCAAGGAAAAACACATTCTGGGTTCACTGAAAACCTTTAAGGATGAGTGCTAAATTAATAAATCATTAGGTTGTGAATAGAAATGTTAGCATAATCATGATATGCTAATTTAGTGGTTTTTCAGAGCCTGGCTAGTTGGTAGACATTAGTTTTATAAATATATCAGTTTAAATATGTAAGTTCTGTCATATGAAAGATGTTGGAAATGAGAATAATTTAAGAAAATTTGGGACAATCTTGGGTAAATCACTGTTTAGCTTAAGCATATATAGGTAGCTGATTGTAGTATGAATACTGCTGGTATGATTCTCATTTAACCACCAGTCCCTCCTCCATAAGAAATTTTTCCATAGTACAGATCTTTCAGTCTCAGGTAAAGCACCACAAACAGTTATACTGCTGAATTTCTAAGAATATTCTTTCCTTAGATTCCATTCTTGGCAGGTCATCTTCATCAGTATAATCTTCCAGTTTCTAAAGCAAAAGTCATTGAGCCCTGACTGCTGCTGCTTCTGCTAATATGTCATCCGTCTCTGAGTATTTGTATCAGTTTGCATTATACTGCAGGTGTGAATTTGAGACATCTCTCTGGAGTCAGGAAAGCTAAGACATGTCTTTCTAGTTAATGCTTTTTGCACTTGATAATCTGCATTAATCAATGATGGACACCTGCTTTCTTCTTCAGCTACCATTTGCTTTTGCCTCTCAAGCATACATCTCTTAATGGATACATCTCAGGTCTCCCAATCTCCTATGGAAGTCCACCACTAATTGTATGACCTCAAACATAGGTAATGTGTATGGACCTCTAGTGTGACCTTGTTTCTGAAGAGCTGCCACATATGTATGTATGAATACAGAGCCACTGGCCATCCCTGGTGTATATTTCTGCTCCTGTATTTCTATGCAAAGCATCAGGAATGGCTATTCGTGGACTGTCCTCATCCAACTGACACAGTTGTTTAGTTCCTTCATTTCTTTTGTTCCCAATAATTTTCTTTTTTGGTTAGGGTTTTGAGGTATGATAATTTATCACACTCTTTTGAGTTCTGAAATGTCTTTAAAAATATACATACATATATGTATGTATATATGCTATATGCAAGAATCACTCAGATAGAGACCAGCATATCAGATTTATTACTAGCAACACAGATTTAAAGACTTTAGGTTAACCTACGGACAGAGTCTGAATTCAAATTACCTTTTCCTCCCCAGGATTGAATGACCTCCCCTTATCTCCAGGTCTCTTCCCAACAGGTATAGAGCTTTGCCCATTACATGTGGCATAGGGAGAAATTGCTTCTGTCCTAAGAACCAGCTGCTCCAAAGGAGAGAGAGCCAAGATCAGTCCCTTCTAATCTCAGTAATCCTATGAATCTTTCCTCTTTCCATGCAGAAAAGTGAGTGCAAATTAGAGACAAAGAGGGAAATTCTCCTTACGGTAATATTCTTTCTTGGGAATTAGAGTGAAAATTTCCCTGGAAATCATGTGAACAGGGTATTATGGTTCCTGCAACACTTGGTTTCTGCTTTCACCAGCATGAAAGTTTTAATACAATGAAAAAAGTTCTAGTCACAGAGCTAGAAAAGTAGACTGTATACTAGAAACAATAGGCACCACTTGTTATGGATTGAAGTGTGTCCCCCAAAAATACATGTTGTAATACCTAACTTCTGTGCCTCTTCCTGGCCAGCTGAATGGAAGAGATCCATATCTGTGCCCATTCCAAAGAAAGATGAACCAACAGAATGCAGAAATTATTGAACAATTTCATTAATGTCACACTCAAGTAAAATTTTGTTGAAGATAATTCAGAAATGGTTGCAGCAGTACATCAACAGTGAACAGCCAGAAATTCAAGCCAGATTCAGAAGAGGACGTGGAATGAGAGATATCATTACTAATGTCATATGGATCTTGGCTGAAAGCACAGTACCAGAAAGATTTTTACCTGTGTTTTGTTGACTGTGCAAAGGCACTTGACAGTGTGGATCATATCAGTTATGGGTAACATTGCAAAGAATGGAAATTCCAGAACAATTAATTGTGCTCATATGGAAACTGTACATAGACCAAGAGGCAGTCTTTCAAACAGAACAAGGGAATACTGCCTAGTTTAAAATTAGGAAAGGTATGCATCCAGGTTGTATCCTTTCACCATACTTATTCAGTCTGTATGCCTGAGCAAATAATCCAAGAAGCAGGAATATGTGAAGAAGAACGTGGCATCAAGATTAGAGGAAGACTCATTGAAAGCCTGCAATATGCAGATGACACAACCTTGCTTGCTGAAAGTGAAGAGGACTTCAAGCACTTACTGATGAAGATCAAAGACTACAGCCTTCAGTATGGATTATACCTCAACATAAAGAAAACAAAAATCCTCACAACTGGACCAATAAGCAACATCATGGTAAATGCAGAAAATGTTGAAGTTGTCAAGGATTTCATTTTACTTGGATCCACAATCAACACCCATGGAAGCAGCAGTCAAGAAATCAAACAACATATTGCACTGGGCAAATCTGCTGCAAAAAACCTCTTTCAAGTGTTAAAAAGCAAAGATGTCACTCTGAGGACGAAGGTGTGCGTGACCCAAGCCATGGTATTTTAAATTGCCTCATATGCATGTGAAAGCTGGACAATGAATAAGGAAGACCGAAGAAGAATTGATGCGTTTGAATTACGGTGGTGGTGAAGAATATTGAATATACTATGAACTGCCAGAAGAATGAACAAATCTGTCTTGGAAGAAGTACAGCCAGAATACGTCTTAGAAGCAAGGATGATGAGATTTTGTCTTGCGTACTTTGGACATGTTATCCGAAGGGACCAGTCCCTGGAGAGGGACATCATGCTTGGTAAAGCGAAGAAGAGGAAGACCCTCAACAAGACGGATTGACACAGTGGCTCCAACAGTAGGCTCAAACATAGCAACGAATGATTGTGAGGATGATGCAGGACTGGGCAGTTTTTCGTTCTGTTGTACATGGAGTCACTGTGAGTTGGAACGACTCAAGGGCACCTAACAACAATAACATGCTTGTGCTTATAATCTCATTTTGGAATAGGTTGTGTTAATGGACAGAATTAGTGTAGGGTGTGCCTTGAATCAATCTCTTTTGAGATGTAAAAGAGATTAAGTAAGCAAGTGAGCAAGCTGAGATGGGGGGACAGAGATGCCAAGCCACAGGAAGCTCCAGAACTGACAGAAGGAGAAAGACTTCCCCTAGAGCCAGCACCCAGAATTCAGACTTTTAGCCTCTTAAACTGTGAGAAAATAACTTTCTGTTTTTTAAAGCCACCCGTTTGTGGTATTACTGTTAGCACTAGATAACTTAGACACCTCTAAAGTATCTTTCTTTCCTCTCAAAACACATCGTTTTGCTCACTGGCTAAGAAGAAAAAGATAGAATGTCTATGTTTAATCTAGAAAACCTCTGATTTACATTCAAATGGCTGCAATCCCATCAGAAAAATCTTTCAGCATTTCCAGTCTGCTGTCAATTAAGTATATATATCATATAAATAAAGTGACATAGGTAAAGACTGAAATACAACTTGCAAATTTTTATCTACTAATCACATAAATCCAACATCTATGTATTTTTAACCAGAAGCACATTATTTGCATGAGCCAGGAATGCAATATTTTGACATGGATTGTTTGAACGTAGAGGAAATAAGAATTAACAATTAGATTAATGAGTTCAAATTTCTTATTTCTATATTTTAATAAGAACATGTAAAAATTTTCTGTGTAATTTTCTCCAATGATTTTTTTGCTCCTATATAGAGCAACTTCATTAAGAAGAAAGATTTCTTGCAGCAGGGATTTCTTTATCCATAAAAGGCAGTCAGATAGACAAATTAAACCAACATCTGGCTACCTGCATTGGTCTGAGCTAGGAAGAGGGAAGAGATGGAAGGGATTCTGACTTCATTGTGTCTCTCATGGCTAGTACAACATGAAGAGCTATCTCTGGAGAGGTACTGGTGGGGAGCTAAGGCTGACGGTCTCAGCTGCCTTTAGGACCAGATGATCTAAAAACCTGAAGGGTAAACATCAGCCCTCCACTCTTACACATTCCTTATCTCTTTTCTTGCTCTCAGAAGTGTAGCTTCCAATTCTTGTTGCCTCCAGCCTTTAACCCAAAGGCCATGCTGAAAAGTGTGAGATATTTTATAGGATCTCATTCTAATACGTTATTACCTGAATAACTGTCATTGTCTCATTAACTGGAATGAAACACTCACAAAGATCAATGGAGATTGTAGAGGATGTGAAGGTGTGAGATTCAGATTATCATCTAATTCTTGTTTCCCTTTTTAGGTTGGATATAATATAATTATTATGAGTTATTAGCATATTACAGAATAAAGAAGTTTCTGTGATCACTGTCATGTCACTATTGATGTACATTTATCTTAAAGTAATAAGAAAATTGTGGAAACAGACTTAGACTAAAAAAAGAATTAACTATAGAATGTATTTGAGCATAATGAATTTTCCTATTTACATCCCAAAGAAGTAGAGAAGAATAAGTCTTTTGTATTTCGAATAATGTAATTGCTTTATCACTGCTAATGTACATAATTTACTAAATTATGAGTTCTGTTGTATAGCTAAGCTGTCTATCAGTTATGTATACAAACAATGCCTTAGCCCAAACACTGGCTTGTGAGCCTGTATAGAAAGGTAAAATTGAAAACAGTGTTTTAACCCAAATAAGTTATCCAAGCACCGAGGAAAATAGTAAAATGGCAAAGATTATATTCTGACTGAAGGAGATATTTTTAGTGGGTGAAGCGGCAAATATTATAATCACAAATGACTCTCTGGAGTCTGGTAATGTCATGTGTATACAAAATGAATTATCCGTAATAGAATTATACTTTAAGCACAAATTAGCTTTCCTCATGTAATTCATTATTTAGTGAATTCTCACTGAAAACATAATAAACTCTGCAAAATGTTCTTAACTGCAGCATAGCTTTACTGTATTACCAGCTGCCCCACTAAGTCACAGCATTCCCAAATATCAGCTAATTTATGTAATGTTAAAATTACTCTTTTACCCACAAAAAAAATCGTAATTCAGAAAAATAATATTTTATGCAATCAGTATAAGGACAGAGAAAATGCCTTTGTTCTTTATAGAGTACATAAGTTTGTTGTAATTTCTCAATAAATATTTTTTCAACAAGAATGAAGTTCAAATTGCTATAGGAAGTTATATGGTGATTAATACCAAGTTTCTTAAATTAGAAAGAAAAATTAAAATTTAATGGATGAGCATCGCTTGCCCAATCAGTCATGTAAGCTTATAACACAGTTGAGGACCTCTAGGACAGGGAGATGGACCCAAAGACGCTTCCACACGGCATTGGCTCTTCTCACCTTTCAAAGGGTCACATGAGGTCTTGGCTTGCTTTCTTCATCTGTAAAAATGTACAGTCTGTTAGGTTTTGTGGGAGAAATGAATGAAGAGGTAAAGGGTTCAACACACTTTCTGCCTTTACATAGTAGGCATTGCTACTTCATAGATCCTAATTTCCTTATTGCCCACATTGCCTTAGAATATGACTAAAATACACTGAACAAATGATCATGTTTTATTTTTAAGCAATGGTCGAATTGGATGGAGATGATGTCAGAGTCTCTTCCAGAGGAAGGTATGCTGAAAGGGACATTGTGCAGGTAAGACATTGAACAAAAATGATTTATTTCATTCATTGTGAAGAGCCTGTGCCAGCTCTGATTTGTAAATAACAAACTTAAATTGAAATCAGGTTCTGTTTCATTTAGCCAGTTGATTGTCTATGAGAAACATGTTAAATAACAGCGGTCAAGAATATAATAAGCACTCAAGTAATTAATTTTCCCTCTATTTCTGGTTCACCATATATAAAATGGAAATATTATTGTCTTTTCCTACTTTATTATTATCAGAAAATACAATCGGGATCTTTGGTAAAAATGCAAGTTAGAAAGGTGAGAGACTTGTTAATAATGCATATCTAGTCATTATTTAATCCTCAACAAGACTAAATATATTTAAGACAGCTGAAATATATTCAGAGTAAGTAAATGTCCTAGAAATACAACAAAAATTTATGAGTATTTTCGTGATATTTCCCTCATAGATTATAATTAGAAAAGTGGAATATTGGGATATATATATATATTCAACTTAATTTTACTTATAATTGAATACAGTTGCTAAATATCTGATTCACAATTCATTTAGAATCAAGAAGTATACTTAACTAAAGCCTACTCTGGGGGTGAATAGAAAGAAAAAATCAGTACCCAATAAGTACTGTTTAAATTTATAATTGAAAGCAAGGTGTTAATTTAACTAAATATTTGTGTAGTCATATGCCGCATAACATCCGTTTGGGCAACGTCCAACTACATATACGTCAGTGGTCCCATAAGGTTATAATAGAGTTCAGAAATCTTGATCAGAGAACGCGACGTAGAGGACGTAACTGGAGGTAGGAATGCAACAGCTTGCCACACACAATATGTGTATTTCATGTCTTTTATACAAAGCGATTGTGCTACCAGGAATATAATGGTACAGTACCTATATAACCTATAATACACATCTTGATAGTCATAATAAATGCCTATGTTACTGGCCTATGTATGTCCTGTACTATACTTTCTATCATTATCTTAATGTGAACTTTACCTAGTTACAAATAAAGAGTTTACTGTATAACAATGTATGCTTCGACTCGTAAGCAGCCAGCAGCAGTATATAATATGGTGTTCGTACAACGTCCAAATCACATAATGTCCTATTTCACAGAACATGTCATGGACGTTGAGCAACACATGGCTGTGCTTTAGAGTCTCCATATTGTTTAAGATGTCAGGAAAAACAGCTGTGAAATACACCTTTTGAGTAGAGAAAGGAAGAAAGTCTCAGTACCATTCAAATACATGCTGTGAAAGGTTTTGGAGGAGTAAACAATGGACTTCAGTGTTACTTCCTAAATAATAATCTCTATGTTCATCCCTATAATACAGTCATTAAGAGAATCTAATTTTGAATCATATAGAATTTGGTTGAAATTATGACTTATCTACTGTGATAACTTGGACAGCTTTCTAAATTTCAGTGTTCTGGAGATAAATCTCATTGTTGTGAAGATTAAATGAGATTATGTATATAAAATAGATCGCTGAAATAGAACTCAGTAAAAAAATGTTAGAATAATTTGAAAATAATGTGAACTAATTTGTAAATATGATATTATGAAGTTTAATATGTTGATGAAAAGCATTGTTCTTCATCAGTAGCAAAATTAAGTTTTAAAATGGGAACATCTATATAACAGTTTTTCAAAAAGGTAATTGAATATGGTTTAAACTTTTCAAACTAAAGTACTTGGTAGAGTAAAAAGCATACACACATAAATGATTAGGTTAACAGCAGCAGTGGAAGGGAACATGATGATGTGGTCATCTATTTAAGAATCCCATGGTGTTTCGTTTTCATAATTGGATGCCTGATTATTCACCTTATCCTCATCAGGATAATTATAGATCCAAATAATTACACTCTATCTAAAAGCTGTCATAGTATCTGGCTCACAGTTTCCAAAAAAATCAAATTACTGAAGGGAAATATGAATTTGTAATCCTTTAGAATGTATTATGTTGCTGTTGTAATGCATTTTTACAAAGTTAGCAGAGGCCACCTCATATCTCATAGTCTCATGTTAAGGAAAACTTAGTATTATTTTCTCCCTTGCGAGGTAGCATTGACTCTTTAGATCATTAAGGCTTCCTTTAAAAGGGCCAATATGTTATGTTAGTGGCAATCCACAACCACACCTATTATCATTTGTACAAGAAAAAATATCATTGACCATGGAAGTATTTAGGGTCTTTCAGTGAATATGCTATATTGGGTAACATATTGAATTAGGACCCAGAGGATCAGTGAAATTTTAATGGTGTCACTTTGATCTTGAACAAGTCAATAAACCTCTCTGAGCCTTTGTTTACTTATCTTAGACCCTAAATTCTTTTACTTTTGCTCTTCCCATGATGTTGTACATCTCAGAGGAAATAACAGATATGAAAAACTTTGCTACCTATCAGCATATGGTATATACTAGTGTAATCATGAAGTTTTCCTCTCTTTGAAAGTCAGAATCCCTCAGAGCAGACTACCACCATAAGGTGACACTGGGATCACCAAAGATTTTGGTGGCACCTGAGGAAATAGGGAGGTAGTCAACCGATTCTGCCACATGAGGTTGAACTGAAAAAGTGGTGGCATCTTACAGATATTGAAGAGAAAATTAAAATGTCCCCAGGGAATTAATTGCTCCCGGATTGTCAATGCATGTCCATATTTAGTTAAGGAGAATTAATGTACTCTTTTCTAATCTCATAGAGAAGTTTCTAAATAGTGATTGGTCTTTTAAAAATAGTGAACAAGTCAATCATTCATGTATCACGTGTGGAAAAAGAATTGGCATCTTCTATCTCTTTGAATAAGGTTGTGTAAACATTCCACCATACATACACACACACACACACAAACACACACACACAAATTAACGAGTTACTTTGAAGGGTTAACTTGCCCTGCCCCTAGAGTATTGGGGTTGTAATGCAGGACTGGACAGTGATTTGTTCTGTTAGACAGAGGCCTCCTGGACAGCAACTAAGGAAAACAACAACAAGGGCACACCAAGGATAATAGTGTCTATCTTCCATCATATGAAAATACCTAAACCATTCTAATTGATACATAAATACTACTGGCTAAAGCATCATCAGAGAATAGGGTCTATTTAGGTTCTCTTACCATTTCTCTACTTACCATTTCTTACATTTTGAACCTAACAGAGTTAATACACTACATATGAAATCCCAGATTTCTTAAGTGGGCAAACAAAAGCCTAAGGCTGCAAATAATAGATAGCTGAGGTTCAGCAGAAAGTTGGGGGTGGTAGATGGGGTTTTCATTATTAATGCAAACCCTAAATGGCTTCCAGCTTCATGTAATAATAACATTTAACTATTTAGTAAGTGCTTCATATGTGCTGGGCATACTAAGAACTATAGCCTTACTCCACATAAACCTTAGTTGACTTTATGCCGAAAGTACTTTAATTACCTACATTTTACAAAAGAGGAAATGAGGTTTAATATTTCTTGTCCATAGTCATTGTTATGGATTGAACTGTGTTCCCCCACTATATCTGTTGTAAATTGAAACCTCTCTGCCTGTGGTTATAATCCCATTTGGAAATGGGTTGTCTTTACTATGTTAATGAAGCAGGATTAATGTAGGATGTATTTTTAGTCAGTCTCTTTTGAGATATAAAAGAGATTAAACAAGCAAGCTAGGTGGAGAGATGGGGTAAGATGTTTGCCAAGGCACATGGAGATCTCCAAGGAACCAAGAAGCAGAAGCTGAGAGACAAGGACTTTCCCCCAGAGCCGACAGAGAGAGAGAGCCTTCCCCTAGAGCCAATGCTCCGAATTTAGACTTTTAGGCTCCAAAACTGTGAGAAAATAAACTTCCGTTTTGTTAAAGCTATCCAGTTGGAATATTTCTGTTACAGCAGCACTAGGTGACTAAGACAGTTATACAGCTAAGGAGGGACAGAGCCAAGATTCAATCCTAGACTGTCTGACTCTAAACTTCTATAAAACTTCTTATTACCCTAGTGGTTAACATATCAGAGTCAGACCAATTTGGGTTGAAATAATAACTTCGACAGTTATTATTACCCAATCTTGGGTGAGTTAATTAAACTGCCTAAGTTTCAGTTTCCTCGTATGTAAATTCAAAATACAGATAAGGTGCTTGCAAAACTTAAATTAGATATTTTATGAAATCCCTTAGCAGAAAGCCTGCCATCTGCTAGCTGCTCAATCAATGCATTAATATCAGTATCGGTTATTGTTATTGCTTAGTATGTTGTCAGAGTCCAATGGGAAGGCACTTTTATGTCACTATTTCATAGTAGCTATACCTTGTCATATGACACTGTAGTCGGTTTTATGTTGGGTTATATCCTTTGCCTGGAGATTAAATCTCATATGACTATAGTATAAATAGTAAGCAGGATGAGATCGTTATTGTAAAATGTAAATGACTTATTTTCTTAAATCAGCATATGTAAAGGATTTCTGTTTGTTTGCGTGAGCTGTGAATTGGCCACTGTGTATAATGCAGTGTCATTCCTCCTCCTGGCCACAAGCAGCTGCTGGGCAGCCTATCATTTCCTGAAAAATTATATTTAAATCATATTTTACAGTAAAAGGAGAATAATAACCTTGAAGGCTTAGGGTTGAAAAATCACTAATGGAGCCCTGCACAGTAGGAACAATCAAGCAAAATTGAGCAGAACAGCAACTAAAAGCCCATTTGCCCAAACTGATTCAAACTTGTTTTCACAAATAGGCAGAGCAGCCTTAGAGCAGCCATGTGGAACATTTTCCTTGCACTGGGTGGATGCAGAAAACAAAACAAAAAAAAGGATGTGGAGTATCAAGGATACAGTATATTTCCACAGAACAGAATGCACTTATTGGTATTCTTCCTATGAATATGATCAATTAAGAGAAAGTAAAAAGTGATTTATTCCTCTTAATTGAACATTTTAAGGGCCTGAGTTCATTCTGGTGGTTAACAGCCAGTGATCAACATGCATTCACAAATGTGTGGAGGTTTTGCGAACAAGAGGCCCCCAGATACAGTGATCAGAAATGAATGACAGAAACAGACAATAACAGAGTGGTCTGAGAAGCTGAGTGGAAAACTGGGATTGTAGAGGGATATGAGCAATCTCCCAAGAAGAAAGAGGGCACATTTTATCATGAAAACTGTGAGATTTGACATTAATAGCAGGTAAAAGAAGTGAAGAGTCATATGTCATTTTTACCTCTCGCTTATGACTAGTGAGATGAGTGAAGAGATGAATACCTCCTTTGGAAAAGGTTTAGACAATCTAGGTTAGTGAGTAGAAAGTTCTCAACTTTTTTTTTTCCCCACTCCCAACACGCATGTTGGATAAAATATACTCCTGTTGATAACAGTCACTTGCTATGACAGTGATTCTCAACCCCCAGGCAAGGCCCCTAATACTCAAAGGGCACATCAGAATCTGTGCTCCCACCTAACAAACCTAAGTTAAATGTGGTATATGCTCCCATCCTAGGTTGAAAACTAGAATTCCTTTCTTACCTATTGTTTATAAACATATTTTAAGATGAGTAGAATTGTATGGATTGTGAGAACAGTGATTATGAGCCTTGAGTTTTGACATCCCAGAGTATCATGAAATTATTAACAATGAATCTTAATTTATTTCAATGAAAAAAAAAATCAGTACGCCCTGTAACACTTGCTGAAAATGTGAAACAGTGTGTTTTGAAATAACAAAAAGGCTAGGAATTAGTGCTTTAGATGACCTGGTATTATTCTTAAAGTTGAAAAAAATAAAATTGATAAGAATATTCTTTGTATTTAATGTTTGATATGAGTGTAAATAGAAAACTATTAAGAAAATAGTTTCATATTTATATTAAATATATAAATGTATAAATTCATGAATAGTAATGGTGATAATTATGTTAGCTATTGTGTACAGTACAGATTATGAGTTGCACACTGCTTTAAGCATTTTACATATGTTAACTTATTTAATCCAACAATCCAGTGAAGTATGCATTATTATTATTATCCTCATTTTACAGAAGAGGAAACTGAGGCACAGAGTAGACAATAACTTGCCCAAGATCATGCAGCTAATAAGTCGCAGAACTAGCCTTCGAACCTGGGAAATCTGATTCCAGAGTTTGTGAGAATAGGGGGTAAAAAGATAAATGAGTTTAATGTCCATGGTATAGAAGAACGATGAAGAAGAGAGTTTAGGGAAAGGATAGACAAAAGCAGGTGAGATTTCATCTTTCTCTAGAGAAGTATCGTTTGTTTGCCATAGGTAGTATTGTTTCCCTAAAACTGAGCTCTTTAAAAAATAAAATATAGTTGCATGTATACTAACCATACCAACAATACTAAATGTTAATTTTTAAAATGCTAAATGCTATGCCTTTTAGAATAAGAATGAAATAAATATAGTTGGTGACTCAATGGCTAAACACTCAGCTGCAAATCGAAAGGTCAGTGGTTTGAACCCACCAGTCACTCCGTGAGAGAAAAGACCCGGCGATCTGCTCCCATAAAGATTACAGCCTTAGAAGCCCTACAGGGCAGTTCTACTCTGTCATATAGAGTCGCTAGGAGTCAGAATTGACTCGAGAGCACACAACAACATAGTTATACACCTTCTCCTCACTTATCTACTATCTCTTTATCCAACATTTCACATTTATGACAATAGTAAAAAATCAACTGTCTGATTTATCTGTGCATTAATGATGTACGTCTGGCAGTAACGAATGCCGAGGCGTGAAGCGAGTGTAACACTGTGATGATTAGGGTTATGTGTCAGCTTGGCTAGGCCATGATTTGGTTTGGCAAATCTCAGTGGTTTAGCAGTTATGTAATGATATAATTTGGCAGTTGTGTAGTGATGTAACTTGGTAGTTATGTCATGACATCATTTGATGGTTATGTAATAATGTAGTCACACTCCATTTTGTGATCTGATGTAGTCATTCTCCATTTTCACATAATGCCAATTTTGTGTAACTACCTGGTCTTTGGGACCTTACCATGTTGATAAGTGACGAGAGGGTGTAATTAGATGCTGTTCTCTCATAAATTCTTAACTGTCTTGATTCCTATTTTCCCAATTATAATTATAGTTTCAGAGAGAAAATAAACCTTAACTTTCTGTTGCATTCTGTGTTAGTCATCTAGTGCTGCTATAACAGAAATGCCACAAGTCGGTGGTTTTGGCAAGGAGAAATTTGTTTCCTCACAGTAAAGTAGATTAGATGTCCAAATTCAGGGTTTCAGCTCCAGGGGAAGGCTTTCTCTCTCTGTCAGCTCTGGAGGAAGGTCATTCTCATCAATCTTCCCCTGAACTAGGAGCTTCTCCACGTAGGAACTCTGGGTTCAAAGGATGTGCTCTGCTCCTGGCACTACTTTCTTAGTGATATGAGGTCCCAGTCTCTCTGCTCACTTCTCTCTTTTATATCTCAAAAGAGATTGCCTCAAGACCCAATCCAATCTTGTAGATTGAGTCCTCCCTCACTAACACAACTACCATCTATCCCACCTCATTAACATCATAGAGGTAGGATTCACAACCCATAGGAAAATCACATCAGATGACAGAATGGTGGACAATCACACAATACTGGCGATTATGGCCTAGCCAAATTGATACACTTATTTTTTGGGGACACAATTCAATCCATGACACATCCCTTTGATTTTTTGTTAAAAATGTCAGGCCTTGTTCATAGCTAGATAATATGACTTCACAAAATTTCACATTCCTACAGTTCCCTTCCCAGCTACTTGCTCTGTTAGTTTTTTCTTACCCTTACTAAGCTACCTACAGGGGTAAGAGAAGGTTGTGTCACCTTTCTATCACACCTTTTTAAAAGTTGGTCTGATTTTCCTCCTGGGAAGGAGGCAGAGACAGAGAGGGTAAAATTATAGCACATAGATATACATCTACCTACAATGTGTCTTATTTGAAAAAGGAAGGAATAATTTTCTATTTTTCATTTAAAAGAGACTACTTTTACTGTATAAATCGACTTGACGGCAATGGGATTTGATAAAATTTCTAACTTGGTTGACTTATAGCAACCTGACCATTTTAAAGCCTGCTTCTTAGTAACAGTTGTTTTCAAGTATGTCTTGAGAAACTGTTTAAATCAAAAGTCAGTTTTTCAAAATAGCTTTAAAACAGCTGTGTTACATTATGAGGAAAAAAAGAATTTAATTCAAACTTTCAAATATTATGCTCAGAAATTGTTCAACATCCTAAAATGTCTTCACTATACCTTTTCTCTGAAGACTTAAAATTACTGTGTTCCCAAAATATTACATTAACAGTTCCAGTTGTTTCCAGGTCACTTCAGGAATCATCATGTCCCTAAGAGGAAATTGACACAGTTTATTAACTTAAATAACCATTATTAATGAGAATGGAATTAGGTAATCTAATTCCTAGATTACCAGAGTATTTGGTGGTGAGCTGATAAGAGTTCTCACATAATTGCTTATATAAAGATAGGGCAATTATTTTTATATGATGTAAAAATAAGAATTATATTTCAATAGAAGTATACCAAAATCTCACAAAAAAAATTCTTTTTTTTTTTATGACTTCTCAAATTATGAATATAGAAATCAACGTCAGGGACAAGACTCAATGTACTGAATATTTTAGGTTCCTACTGATATAAATGATGTGAATTTTATTTTCATTGTACATATGATTTGACATTATAGTAATAATTAAAAATAGCTTACGTGTTTCAGACTCACAGTATACACTATAATTTCTTTTAATCTCACCTATTTGTTTCTTGTTCTGCATAGTGTAATATTTCTGCATTGAAAGTTGAGTTAAGCATGTAGTAACTTTATTTGAAAGGACACTGAGCCTCAAAGAGGTTAAATGCTCCAGAAACCAAAAGCTGCAGAACGCACATACCAACATAATGGACATATTCGGATCAGGAGACGTGAGTTATAGGGGTGAAGAAAACCCAATATAGAAAACAATTATGTCTCTTTTTAGATAGAGCATATATATCAGAAAGATTTCTTCACTGTTACGGCTGTTTGTAGTATTAACTAGTTAAAAACTGTATGGTAATTATTATCTCACCATTACTCCGAGCTTCTCTGATTCTCCCTCCTACAAACAAATATTTACATGTCTTGATTTTTATGTCTATTAAAGAGCATTCTAAGGTCTGCGGAGTAACTTTATTCCACCTCTGTTTTAGTTTGTACCATTCAGAGATTACATTGACAGAAGCGGAAACCACATATTGAGCATGGCTAGATTGGCTAAAGATGTCCTAGCTGAGATCCCCGAGCAGTTTCTCTCCTATATGAGGGCCCATGGAATCAAGCCATCACCTGCACCTCCCCCGTATACCCCGCCTACACATGTGTTACAGACTCAAATATGACTGTGCTCCCAAACGCTTCACGTTAACTACACGTCGGCGAGAACTGCTGAGTCAATGCTTTGTGCCTGGTGCTCGGTAATGAACCCGGGAATGAGATACTTTTCTCAGTTTGGTGTCAGCAGTACTAGTTAATGTGCTTTCTTGGATCCAAAATGAATTCTCTTCCTAAACCAAAATTGTAAATATGGTTGTTGCATGAGCAACAGAAAACTTGGTTAAGTGCTTGAAGCAAAATATGGATGTCTTCTCTGAATCTGTAATTTTCTTTTTTTTTTTTTTTTTTTGGACAGAAACAGCTAATTTCCAATATATTGCTGGGAAAAAGCACAAAGTATATTTTTAACTCCAACATGTCCCGACTGCTATGTGTATAGGAAAGCAGTCTCTCTGTATCAATGTTTACATGTTACTACTTTTTAAATTTCAATACTTTTATAACTGTTCTTAAGAATAAGAGTTTTGAATTTTGAATCCTTTGTCTTCTAAATTGCAATAGCTATAATCACAAGAGCAATATCTCTTTGAATGGCTGTCTGGACAAATACAATTGCAAATAAGGAAAGGGAAAGATGCTTTCACATTTCTCAGTCACTGAATTGAGTCTTATGGCAGTGCATCTGCTTAGTAATCCATCTCTCTGTGCTGTTTGCCAAGTATGGGAGTTTAAGCTTAGCAGATGTGAATCCTGTAAGAACATGCATTTTTCATGGAGTTTGGGTTCTACATTTAGACTGCAGTCAGTTTATGTTTTGTATTGCTAAATAGAAATAATAAAAAGTCAAACATTATGAACTGTAAATGCACAGAAAATACTTTGTGTAAAAAGTAGCATCTTTACGTTATAATGCGATTTAGAAAGACTAAAACCAAGAATAGTTAACTGTGAACCATTTAGCAGGTGTTTTAAACTTTTTATTCCATTATATATTGTCTAGATATATTCAAAGGGATACTGGCTCTATTGATTTCGATTCCTTGTTATTACTTTTCCACATTGCCACACAGGGTGCATAGGCTGGAAATCTTTTGGGAAATTCCCAGAAATATACACAACTTTGTGACTTAGAACACAACACATTTGTGAAATAACTTACTCCTATATACTAATCTGCTTGTCCACAATTAATTGTAAAGAGTTTTTGCATGTACAGTTTTTACAAGAATTACGATTTTGTGAAGTTGTGTCTAAATTAAAGCATTTCTTTAGAACAAATGGCCTTAAATTCTCACTGTATTCCAGGAAATGATTGTGAATTGCCTTCAAATAATAGAAAAGTGTGTTTATTTTTTTCTTTTGTGTCAACAATGCAACTGCTTTATAATGTTTTTCCTTACCTATATCATATTTACTACTTGGTTTATTTCTACTGTATGTTGTTCTATTTGTCCAAAGTTGACTTAGGGTCAACTTTTATAAGCATGAAAATATTTTACTTAAAAGTATATACACCACATATTTACAGTGTCAATGGTATCTGACTATGTAATACTAAATTGTCCATTTTTAAGTATGTATTAAAATCTTTAAAAGGATAAATATTTGCTCTGTAAATTTCATGTATGATGATTGGGGTCTGATGATTTTCTTTACTGATCTAAAATATTTATGCCAGTATAGTTTATTAACCTACATATTTTTTATTTGCCTTCATTCATCAGTCTAGAAAACAAAAATAAATGAAATCAATATTCTTCCCTTCTTGTGAAACAAAGTTATTTTTCCTTGGACTGACCACAGGAAATGAAAGGTACCACTCTCCTGTCTAAATAATAACGTACTCACAACCTAGTGAGGGTAGATGGATAGGAATGAAACAATCTCAGTCACAAATCTTATCCTCTATGTGGCCGAGAATAGTTGAATCGGAAATATATGTGATGTTCAAGATATAAGACTAGAAAATATCTGGTCTTGTCTCTTCACTGCATACACAAAGAAACCAAGAGTAGAAGGATTACATGATTAACCCAAGGCTATAAAACTAGAGCAAAGCTTGGTACCATTATGAAAATACTTGTTATAACTACTTACATATTTGGAGTTACAGTTCGGTGTTATGTAATGAAAATTCCCAGAGACATGCTCCATAACTTGAATGCATATCAATAGTTACACATACAAATAGATATTGGGATGTTCAGACATTAGGCAATGAGCATGAGAGAAGTATATATTTATTGAGAGAAGAATGATAGATCCAAGTCATCAAACGTACTGCAGAAAGCAGACTACAATGGGTGCCTTCAAAAATCCTGAAGGCATTGGATGTTGTCCTCTCTCTTAATCCCTTTCCTTTCCTTTGTGATAAAAACCTCTGGCTACTCACCATTTTAACTCCAGGATGAACCTCCGCCTTCTATTCAAACATCTCCATCACTTGGTCTCACCCAGTTATATAATACCATTTCCCATTGATTCCCAAATGAATATTAAAACTGTTGAAACCTGTCTCCTGATTTTCCCCAACCCATCCGAGTTCATTTGAATCTTGGCTGTATTCATACTCTTTCCACTCATCAGAAATGCCCACTTCTCTTGGCTCCACCTGGAATATTCTTTGCATCATTCCAACTCAAGCCCTAACTCCTCTTAATAGCATTCTTTTATAGTTTCAGCTAACAATAATCAGTACCTTCTATGAAGTCTGCTTTGCTTTGTGTTTAGCAGTCTTATTACCTTATATTATTTATAAACTATTTTATCTTTATCTGGGGCATCTTGTCTCTCTATCCCTAGAGAATATAATTTAATGGAACCAGGATGTAGGTAAATTTTAAAAGTTTCCCAGTTAATTGTAATGTATAACTAGGGCTGAAAACTGCTGCAATTAAGGAACATCAAATGACTCAATCACTACTTTTAAAATTCTCTATTCCAGAAAGTAACAAGGGAGCAAAGAAGGAGTGGGTGTGGGCGCTTTGAATGGTGGTGTGTCAGTGAGAAGGGAGGCAACTGGGAGTAGCCTTGGAGCATAGGCTATTTTGTTCTTCAAACTTAGTGAAGATAATTAGGTGGACACATATGTTGAAACCTAACAGAAAGACAACAACTGAGCTATTTGTTACCCATGGAAAGAGCAAAAGCAAACTGTTCTAAAGGTTTGCTCATTTAGGTTTAAAGCATAAGTGATCATGACCTCATGATTTTCTCATCACAATGTTATGCACTGATTTAATATCCATGAAACAGGCTTGCTGGGCATTCCTAACGTGCTTAGATAAGCAGATTTCATACTTCCAGGATTTGCTATCAGTCGAAGAGGGTGATATCAATGACCTTACAAATTAGAAGGAAAGAATATGCTTTAGGGTTGGTTTAAAAAGAGATCCCCCTTCAGAGACCTTCCTCACCTTACAAAGTAAGTGAATTACAAGAAGTTGTAAGAATTGTTCAATAATTTTGGGAAAGAATAACCAGTTTGATAGCTCTTGAAATGCCCACAATTCTCAGAGAAACACTAAATAAAACATCTATCAAATCTTGTTTTAAAATATTTAAATCTGAGTCTGTTTAAAATTAACAAAGCTATCTCATCATTTTCAAATATCGTAAAAGTCATAGTCTGTAGTTTAAAGATTGGCGACTCGACAGCAACAGGTTTGGCTTGGTTAGAGAATAACTCTAAGGCAGAGGATTGAAACGAAAAGAGGGTGAGTCCTTAGAAAACCAAGAGGCAATCACTAGAAACTCCTCTGGTCTCACCGAGAAAAAACTTCTAAGTCCCTAAAGACTATCTGGAGCAAGCAAAATACATCTATAATATCAGTTTGCAAACCTCAGTTAGGCCATCAAATAGTGTTCAAGATAAAGAATTAGAAGTACCTTTTGTTTTATCCTCTTATTTTATGAGGACATTTAGTAGTTATAAATCATTAATTTGAAACCAAAATCCAAAGGCTTATATATGTACCTGGCATTTTCTATAAGCTGACTATAAAATTGCTAGAACCTTCTCCAGGAGAAGCGTAAGTCAACAATATGTCATACATTGGGAGCCAAAAAACCTAAGTATCCGTCTTGGCTGTCTGACTTTGGAAAATATCACATAAATACTCAAACCTCATTTTTGTAATACATATAATGAAGTGATATCTCCAAGGGTCCTTAAAACACTGTCACTGTGATTCTCTCGAAGACAGAATTACTTTAATTGGAGCTCACCTTGAAGATTGACCCTTAGCAAGTCTAATGAGAGGAGGTTATTGAATGAACTTAATGTGAGGGATTGGGCAACAAATGAAAAATCTCAGTGTCTTATTTAAAAAGGCAGGTTATGAGTTTAACCATTACTCCAAGTTAGGCATGTATTCTTACCATTCTCTTTGCCTGAGAACCCAGAGGATATTGGAAAGATGGGAGAAAAAGCCAAAGTCCCATTGCTCTGTGAATGTTTTTGAACTTATTTGTACATCCCTCATACCCGTATCCTTCAGAAAGGGGATCACTGGACACATATTTCCTGGTAATATCTGGATGTGCAGTAAGTGCTGTCTTTATACACTTCAGGGATTTTCCCTTAAAAATACCAAGACTAGTCAAAAACAAATATTTCTTATTATATCATGTAACTTGATTGTGTGCACTTGAATAAGTCATAACCACTCTGGACCTTGATTTCATCATTTTCAAAAGGGTTATTGGAAACTTAGGTTGCTAAGGTTGCTGAGGCTTTTGCCGAGTCTAAGATTTTGTCTCCACCAAAACTGAAGAGACGAGTGATAACTACAAGATGCGTGTGCTCCAAGTGCACAACATAGACCTGAATCATTCCTGCATTAATATGAGGAATGATTTCCATACCCCATTGTCTCACTGGACTTTTTTCACTTCTTCAAATAATGTTGTGCTCTCTTGGCTTTGGGCCTTTGCATAAGCTGTTTCTTGTGCCCCAAATGCTCATCCAGCTCTCTTCACTTTGCTTGTTATTGTTAGCTGTCGTCGAATCTGCTCCAACTTATGGCAACCAATCCCGTGCCCTCTTCATGATCATTTGGTATATTGTCTAATCCTGTGCCCTCTTCATGATCATTTGGTATGTTTGAGTCTATTATTGCAGCTATTGTGTAGTGCCTTCCAATCTAGAGGTTCATCTTCTAGCACTATTGGATAATTTGTTCTGCTGTGATCCATAAGGTTTTCGTTGGTTAATTTCAGAAGTAGATCACCAGGCCTTTCTTCCTAGTTTGTCTTATTCTGGAAGCTTCGCTGAAACCTGTCCACCACGGTGACCCTGCTGGTATTTGAAATACTAGTGGCATAGCTTCCAGCATCATAGCAACATGCCAGCCACCACAGTATGACAAACTGGCTTCACCTAACTGCTATGTATTCTTCAAGCCTCACCTTCAGCACCATTTCCTCACAGGGCCTTCCCAGAAAACATAGACTTCATTGAAGCTCTTTGTTATACATTCCCACCAACCAAAAGCCACTGCTGTTGAGTCATTGCCAACTCATAACGACCCCATAGGGTTTCCAAGGCTGTAAATCTCTATTGAAGCAGACTGCCACATCTTTATCCTGCGGAGATACAGGTAGTTTTGAACCACAAACCTTTAGGTTAGCCGCTGATGGCTTTTAAACCACTGCGTCACCAGAGCGCCTTCATGCATTCCCACAGCACCCTGCTTTTATCCTCCTGTCATTCATCACATTTGTGATTACTTATTTGCTGTCCGTATTTCTGACTTGTCTGTAGCTCTAGGATGGCGGGAAGCAGACACATCCTGTTCACTCTTCTATCTCTCGCACGTAGCAAAGGGCCTTGCTTGCTCTTGGTAGGTAATCGATTGAGTTGTGAAAGTGAATTGAATCAAAGGATTGATCAATAAGAATGTTACATTAGTAACTTGACATTTTAAGATAATCCTGAATCTCAATATACCCCCACAGAGAGAACATCAGTAAAATATTAAAGCAGCACCAAACCATACTTTTCCTCTATTTTTTTATCCCTCCATCAAACCAGAACTGTGAAATGGAATGAATAGAGATCGACAGCTTCTCTGTCCCCACCTACTCTCAGGGCTAATTAGTAATGAAATGATCAAAAGGCAGGCAGCAGGAGAGGAGAGATTAATGAAGCTTTGACACAATGATAGCCACGTAGTCATAACTCAGGATGGTCCAATGAGAAAGCGTTCACAAGATGCCAAGATCTTGTTATATTATTTCTACTCTAAACTCTCCTATGACTAAGCATGCTCAATAAAATATAAGGTAAAATAAAATATTTTCAAAAAAATGTTGCTTTAAGCATTTTGGCCCACATTCTACTTTAAAAATAAAAGTGGCAAGAATTTATATTTTAGGAACTGAAAAGACATATTGAATTATTACCCTTGTATTTCCAAGTGGGGTGTGTGTGTGTGTGTGTACCTATGCCGCGCTCCTGCATGTACCTGCATATAGTCATAAGCACTGGAAATGTGAGAAAAGTAACCAAGGGCATGGGGTACAGTAGAAATGACAGTACTTTATAAGCACTTACTGCCTTTCCTGGTGATGATTATCTATCCTGGGGAAAGTATTCCTGGCCTGTACAGAATGTAGGCAAAAATAAAGAAGGTTAGAACTTTGCAATTGCATTTATAACAGGACAGGTTGACTTGCAAATCCTACTGTGCTAATATTTATGATTTCTAATGTATTCTTGCATCCTCTGCTTAGCAACAAGGGAGAGGGATTTAATGAATATGAATTT